CTGAAAACACTGCGCAATCAATTGGCTATAGCGCAGAACCGGATGAAGGTTCAAGCTGACCAACATCGGCGCGAGTTAACTTTCAACGTGGGTGATTATGTCGACTTACGGCTACAACCATACCGCCAACAAACAGTGGCTTTTCGTAGCTCCCTCAAACTGTCGCCAAGGTATTATGGGCCCTATAAAATCTTGGCTCGCATTGGCCCTGTTGCATACCGTCTGGAGTTACCACAAGGGTACCAAATCCATGATGTGTTTCATGTTAGCTTGCTAAAGAAATTTAATGGATCGTCCGTGCCAATCATGCCTGCACTTCCAACAATTGCGAAAGATTCCACTTTGCAGCCTCAGCCCGAAATAGTACTCGATACCCGTGTAATTCAGAACGGCCGTTATCGTCCGAAGGAAGAGATTCTTGTCAAATGGGTAGGTGCCCCTGCTGAAGATGCCACCTGGGAGAATAAATGGAGATTCCTACGTTCATATCCAGATTTCTGTCCTTGAGGACAAGGACAGTTTCAGCGGGATGGAATGATACACCAGAAATGGCCAAGATCTCTTGCAATAAAACGGATTGGACCAAGTCTTTACTGATCAGTTGATTGAATTGACTTAGTCCACTAAATTATTTTCTTGTTATGCATGGGAATTGTTCTCCCTCATTTTTAGTAATTTCCCTGATTCTCAGCTTTGTTTGTTAATTTCCCAGTCATGTAAGACTATTATAAATAGTCCGTAATATCTTCAATAAGAAGGCAATCAGATTTAAAGCTCAAACCATCCTCTTTTCTTCCTGCTTCTTCTCTATTAAATTCTAACGTATCACTCTATTAAATTCTAACGTATCACAAAGTTGATAAGTTGACTATGTGAAAAGAAAATATTTGCATTTATAAACTCGTGAATTTCTTTTATTAATGCCAAAAGTGTGCATAAATTAAAGTTCTCTTTATCCTAACCTAAATAATGCTCAAGCTTTTCCTAATTTGTAGTAAATCTTCTTAACTAACAAAATACAGAAATAAATTGCTTCAGTTCTGGTAGAAACCGGACTCTAAAACATAATCCAGCTTCAGATAAGCCTCAAATATCTGATAAAAGTTCATTTTTAGTTATCAAACTACTCATTTTGGTGAACAAATTAAGTAAAAGTGCAAGCAAAAAGAAGAACATGGAGATTGATCTATCACAGACTAAGGTAACAGTTTCTCCTAAGGAGAAAGATCTTAATGATTGGCTCCCCGTAACATCGTCGAGGAATGGAAAATGGTGGTATTCGGCTTTCCACAATGTCACGGCTATGGTCGGCGCTGGCGTCCTTGGCCTCCCCTATGCCATGTCCGAACTTGGCTGGTATGTGTTCATGTAGTTGACCTCAAATTTATTGAGAACCAGTTTTAGTTTATTTCTTTGTATATCAGTGTAGGGGCGCTGGAGCTGCCATAATGATCCTATCATGGGTCATTACTCTCTACACCCTATGGCAAATGATCGAAATGCACGAAATGGTGCCCAGTAAAGGTTCGATCGGTATCACGAACTTGGCCAGCAGGCATTCGGGGAAAAACTCGGGCTTTGGATTGTCATACCGCAGCAACTAATGGTGGAAGTTGGAGTGAATATAGTGTATATGATTACTGGAGGAAAATCTCTTAAGAAATTTCATGATAGTGTGCCCAAATTGCAAGCAAATAAGATTAACCTATTTTATTATGATATTTGGCTCTGTACATTTTGTTCTTTCTCATCTTCCCAGTTTTAACTCCATTACAGGAATCTCTCTCGCTGCAGCAATCATGTCATTCAGGTAATGTATTCTTTCTAAGCTATAGTCGAGCAACATGATCTATAAGCTTAAAAGTTTTGGGATACATGTTTATTTTTTTAAATTTAGTCCTCAACATCCCCATGTAATGCAGAGACTTGTAGAAAAATGACATATTTATTTAAATTTGAATTCACTTTCCAATGAATCAATATGTTGCTTTATTGTTCGTCAGTTATTCGACTATAGCATGGGTGGCCTCGGCCCGTCGAGGGTTTCAACCGGAGGTATCATATGCCCCGAGTGCATCCACCAGTACCGGAAGAGTGTTTCAATTCTTTAGTGCATTAGGAGATGTGGCTTTCGCCTTTGCCGGTCACAATGTAGTCCTTGAAATTCAGGCAACGATCCCTTCAACTCCCGAGAAACCATCGAAGAAACCCATGTGGAAAGGAGTGTTAATAGCTTATATCGTTGTTGCTATGTGTTACATTCCGGTCGCCTTTGTCGGTTATGCCACCTTCGGGAGGAATGTAGAGGATAATATCCTTATATCACTAGAGAAACCAGCATGGCTTATTGCTGCAGCTAACTTGTTCGTTGTAATCCATGTTATCGGAAGTTATCAGGTATCGTTTGATTCCATTTTCGCTAACTAATGGCACGTTTTTATTATTATTGATGATCGATTTGTGTTATTGCATGAATTCAGGTTTTTGCTATGCCTGTCTTCGACATGGTGGAATCGTGCTTGGTGAGGAAGATGAATTTCAAGCCAACTCGACGACTATGTATTTTTACTCGTACTTCTTAAGTTGGTAAGTACATGTTTGATACTCAGTCATGTCCCTAGTATACATTCCTTTCTCAAATCAATGTAGCATAACAAACGCGCAATAGTTACTGTGCTCTATTTGATCTTTCTTAACTCTTATTTTCTCTTGACTAATAGTTCGAGAAAGAATTGAATGAGCCTCGTACGCTTGATGCAAATAATCCATTTTTTGTTCTACGTCTCTAAGCTATATATATCCACATCATTTTAACCGATCGTTAACTCAACACATTGAGGTGAATGCAGCCCTCACAATGTTCCTCGGAATGACACTCCCTTTCTTTGGTGGGCTTCTCGGCTTCTTGGGAGGGTTTGCTTTTGCTCCAACTACGTATTACGTAAGTCACAAGGCTTTGTTTCCCAACTGATTTGTTATTCACTCAATTAAAATTCAAGAAAAGACGTACGTACGCGATAAAGTTCGTCACTTATCTTGTACCCCATGTTTGGTCAAGATTAGAATTCGATTTTATTCCAAATCAAAATCAAACAATCAATATTAACCACATGTTTCATGGGTCCCACAACTTTTCAACCACACATTTCAAAAACTTGTATCAAAATCTACTAAAAATCTAATTTTAATCCCTACCAAACACTTTATAAGCGTTTAAATTGTGTTTGCAGCTTCCTTGTATCATTTGGCTAGCCATCTACAAACCCAAAAGATTTAGCTTGTCTTGGTTGATCAATTGGGTATGTTCTCCATCCTTAAAATTCTCAAAAACACACGCGACACAGATTCATATGCTTTTATAAATTGTGGGATTTTTAATTTTTTTTACATTAATTATATTTTTTTCTTTTTTCCTTTTTAAAACAGATATGCATTATTCTTGGATTTTTACTGATGATTTTAGCCCCTATTGGTGCATTGAGGCAGCTAGTATTGGATGCCTTGGACTTCGATTTCTATTCTTGATTTATTCATTATTATGAAGTATAGAAGTTAGTTATATACCTTTATTTTTTGCGACGGACTAAATATATTTTTGTTTTTAAAGATTATTTTTTGTTTTAATTAAATTATTTTTGTGATTATGTTAAATTCATTCAAATGCTTTCTCTTCACGGTAAATTTGTTATGCTGTATTTTGACGAAAATGATATAGTATTAGTACCAATTCAATCTTGGTTATGAAATTTTTCACGATGATGTAATTAATTCGGAATATCTCAAGTGAGTCGGTAGCTAATCAAACAAGTCTTCCTTCTACAATTGAAATCCTCTTCGACCCATCTACGACTTCATAAATGCACATCTAGTGTTCATCTATCATTCTGCCTTGCATTTTCCTGAATTAACGGTTGCATAGCATTTTTCTTTTTCTAAAGTCAATACAATTTTTATTTGATTATTTTAACAACAAATCAACCATTGAAAGATGTTCAATCCCTCCCAAATCACATAGCACTCAAGCATTGAAGTGAAACGTGATAGAAAATTCGATATTACTTGCAAAAGGTGAGACGAAGGTCAATATTAAAAGGGTATATAAAAATTTGTAAATTCTTTATCTTTAACTAAAAAGTACTTACGTTTGAAAATTATGTAATATTTTCAACTTTTTTATAAAATAAAAATGATTTATCTTAACTTATTTAGGGCCTGTTTGGTTGTGATTTAATGGACGTTCGGCACCTCCCCATTGGATGAAGTGCAGGTGGGGTCGGCATTTTATCCAATGGGGAGGTGCCGGGTGTCCATTATGGACACCCTTATGTACCCCCTAATGTACAAGTAGCATTTTCCTTTGAAAATTATGTAATATTTTCAACTTTTTTATAAAATAAAAATGATTTATCTTAACTTATTTACTTATAAGTAAATTATTTTGAAGCTTAGCCAAACATTATCCGCGGGAGAGTGTAAGCTTCACACTTCACCCCCCAAAATGCAAACTTTCGTTACCCTTTCCTTCTTCACTCCTCTTCCCCCTAAACCCATCCTTAAACCCCAACAAATTTCTCAATCTCAATTCCTATACAAACCCATCAAAACCATTCGAGCCTACTCCTCCGACGAATATCCAGTAGGCGATGACGACGCTTTTCTTGCATCATTTGGGCCAAAGGAGAAAGAATCTGAAGAAGATGCCCGAAAAAGGAACTGGGTCGAAAGGGGATGGGCTCCATGGGAAGAAGTTCTGACCCCAGAAGCTGATTTTGCTAGAAAGTCCCTTAATGAAGGCGAAGAAGTGCCGCTTCAATCGCCTGAAGCAATTGAGGCGTTCAAAATGTTGAGTCCCAATTATCGGAAAAAGAAAATTGCGGAAATGGGGCTTACGGAAGATGAGTATTATGCTAAACAGTTTGAAATTAAGGGTGAAATACCGGATCCTTTGCAGACGGGTTGGAGTGGGCCTTTGGTGTTGAGGCATGTGCCGCCAAGGGACTGGCCACCGAGGGGGTGGGAGGTGGATAAGGAGGAATTGGAGTTTATACGTGGCGCGCACAAGCTGCAAACTTCAGTGAGAGTGGATTATGACAAGGTGGAGGAAATGGTGGAGAGGGATACCGGGGATATGTGCTTGGAGAGGTATGAGATGTTCTTAAAGCAATATAAGGAGTGGGCAGCTGCAAATAGGGATCGTTTGGAGGAGGAGTCTTATAAGGTTAATTAAATTGCAATGATTTTTATACACGCTTCATTGTTTTGGTTCTTTTTGCTGCTCTCCTATGGTGTTTGGATGATTAATTGAATTTTGGAATTAATATGTATGAAATTTTGGATCGTCTTATTATGATTTTACTCTTGTTGTTATTGTTTTGGTTCTTTTTGTGAGTTGTTTTTCGTGTTTGCAATGATTATTTATTGAATTGAGGAATTAATGTGTGTGAATTTTTGTTTGATTTATGATAAAGGGTTTTTTTGTTAGAATTCTTCGAAAGCAAGAATTAAATTGGTGTAGCATGTAGCTGCATATAAATATACTCAGCTAATTAAAGTTCCGCATTTTTCGAGCTTTTTTTGTATGTGTGGAGGTTGCGCAATGATCCAGTGAATTAAGATCTCAAAATTTAGAGCATGATTTGCGTGCAATGTTGAATTTTGTCTCTTTTTGATAAACAGATTTTACTGAAGTTACTTGAGCACCGATAGGAAGCATATTTGGCAGCCTTAAATTGTGATGATTTTGATACACGCGTTATTGTTTTGGTTCTTTTTGCCACTTTCTTATCATGTTTTCAATGGTTTATTGGATTGATGAATTAATTTGTATGAATGTTTGTTGCGTCTCATTATGGTTTATGATTATAGGGTTTTTGTTAGAATTGTTGGAAAGGAAGAATTAATTGGTTTTGTATTGTATGTTGCTGCATATAAACATGTCCAGCTACTTAATATTTCTTGATTTTCGAGCTTTTTGCATATGGAGTTTGCGCAATGAATTGAGCTCTATAAGCTTAAGGCATAGTTCGTGTGCAATTTTGGATTTTGTATCTTGTCGATAAACATATATTTTGGTTGTAACTTGAGATGTCAAAGGGGCTTTTTTTTCCCAAACAGAGCCCCAGTAGAAGCAAATTTAGTAGCCTTGTTAGAGTAGGAAAAGCATCTTCGATTTTGCCATACAAAATATGACTTGTGGGTTTTTGTCATCTATGTAGTACGATCAAGATTATTACCCTGGTAGGAGGAAAAGGGGAAAGGATTACAATGAAGAAATGGTAAGATTAATATTGTGTTTCCTGGACACACCCTCCTTTCCCCTGGTTCATATCTTTAGGTTTGACTTTCGGATTTCATGAGGTTGATTTGAATCATGAACTGCTGAGCTCACTGCTTTCTTTTCTGTTATGCAGTATGAACTTCCATTTTATTATCCGGGACAAGTAAGTAATATCTATTTTATCAATTTTGTCCTATTTTTGTTGGAAATTTCAAAATTTTCTGTTTTAAGTTGTTGATCTCTCGATAAGAGAAAATGAACTAAAAATTGCCCTCTCTTTTTAGTGTAGGTTGCTCTCATCAATCCAATTCACTAAGCCTCCGTTTGGCTAATATATTAATGATTTGTTCAACTATTATTCACCGCCCATTTTCATCTATCTTTAAATTAAACTGTTTTACGGGTTGCCTAATTTCATGTTGTTACTTTCTGATTTAAATTGATAATATACTTCCTGTGTAATATGTATTGATTAATAAAATTATTGATTACCTTTCAAAAAAAATAAAATTAAATTGTTTCTAAATTCATCCCAACGGAGGCTAAATGTTTTAAATCTGAAAATAAAAGCAATTATAAGGTGTGTATCTATCGTTGGACTCTAGGCCAATAGAATTAAAATAATACTGATGAGCTTTATGTGCTGACATTGTCTGCACCTATTATCAGTGTTTCCTCCACTTTTTCTTTTATGGTTCTTGGTATCTTGTGTGTGTTCTGCCATGTGCACTTATCAACCCTTATATTTAACTATTAGTAGTTGAATATGGTTTTATCATCAGCATTCTCTACTAGTACAATTTTCTGTTAAAAATTCTGGAAAAATCTTGATTGAAAACAACAGTAAAAATGCATTCCATTTATTCCACAGTGGGTATATGGATAATCATGTGCCATTCCTACTTATCTGAAATTTACACTAATTGGTTGAATACAAACTGATTAGGAGTTCCTTATTTTAATTTGCCTTTCACTGCATGTTCATGAGAAATGTTTTCCCAGATTTGTGCAGGTAAAGTAACTGCATTACAACTTTATCAAGGAGCATTTGTTGATATTGGAGGTGTCCATGATGGGTATATATGCTACCCTTTGCTTATGCTGATATCACGATATATGAGATTGATGCTTACTTTGTTTCATCAAGTGTTTAAAGTAACCCTTTGTTCCAACTTGAATTCTACATACAAGTTCTTTTAGATAAATTAAGGTACACTTCCCTAAAATGGTGGATCTTATACCTTCTTTTAGTATAATGTTGAAGAATATGAAAGACCATCAACCTTTTGGCCCCAATTAGTATCAAATTATCATTCGTTTTGGTCTCATACAAAGCTATTCAAATTTTTTAAAACTTGCCATTGCTTTAAGTGTACAGTGGATTGTGTTGTTACCTCTCTCTGTATATGAATATATTCCTTACCTGCTATACATTGTAATAATAATGCATTTTCAGGTGGGTTCCAATTAAACGCAATGACTGGTATTGGATCCGTCATCACATCAAAGTTGGTATGCACGTCATCGTTGAAATTTTGGTGAGTCAGCCTTTGTTGATCTCTGTTACCTATATTTTCACACTATCGCAATTTTAGCACTTTGAGCTAACTTGTACAGTAGAGGTAAAACCCCAAGTTAGGAAGTGAGTTTAGTAGTTGATTGGAATATAATGATATTTAGGAGGCGTTGATAATATGAGTGATGAGTCGAAGAGATGTAGACTGCCGAAAATTGACGAGCAAAAACAGCCATATTTGCCTCTAGATGCACCTCTCAGGAATAGTGGTACATTAGTGTTAATGTTGAACTTAGAGGAGCAACCATTACAACATTGTCCAGGGATATGACATGCGTGCTTCTGAAGTGAGAACAAGATCAAAGAATACTAGGTTATGAGTCTAGATGCTCATTAACAAAGAAAATGACGTATGGCATTATTGAGAAGAAAAGAAGAGAAACAATTCCATATTTGCAGCATCTCTACCCGTTCTGGTATTGTGTTGCTTTACGTGGTGGCCTATGGTTCAAACTCCTATTTTTTTTCTCTTTTACAAAGTTCTCATTATGAATATTTCTCTCTATGTATTTTAGGTTTTTTATTGTTGACTTGTTTAACAATACTTGACTAATTAAAAATGTTGAATTCATGTGTTGTGTAATTTCCCATTTCTGCAGGCAAAGCGAGATCCATATCGGTTTCGGTTTCCAATAGAACTGCGTTTTGTTGATCCGAACATAGATCACCTAATGTATGCCTACAAATTCTTCTCAAACTTTTCGTTTTGAGTGATTCCACTCCCTATTATTGTCCTATTGTACATTTGATGTTTCCTTCATTTCTGAAAGGTCAACATCATTTATATTTTTCAATCTGTACAAGTCTGTATGCTCAAGATAGTCTTCACGAATTATATCTACTTATTCACCCATTCTCTAATATTTTACATCGATTCGTGCTTGCAGCTTCAACAGATTTGAATTTTCTCCGATATTTCACCGGGATGAGGATGTTAATCCAGATGAGTTACGTGTGAGTAAACTCTTCTATGTAAAGCATCAAGCCTGATTTGTCCTTTCAATATGTATGAACGTTAATGCATATGCTACAAGTGCTGGTGCAACTTGCACCAATCAGTTTACTGTATGAAAGACATTGTATCCTTTGATTGGTTGTGACCTTGTGACCTATGATGCACCAACACGAACGATATGTGTCGGATACTCCAACACACGATTTTTCAAAAAAAGTACTGGCATAAGACTTTGCCAACACGTTAATTAAATTTTTTAAAATTCTTCATTTATGTAGTATATATTTCGTTCGATGCTTATTATTAATTTTTCTTAATGAAGTCTTTTAAATATAAGTATCTATTAGTTATTTTAATAATAATTTTGAGTTTAAAATATATAATATTTCTGTTAAAGAATGAAAAATAACCATGGTAGAGTGTGCGAGGAGTGTCGGACATGCCACTCTAGTTGAAGTGTCCGTGCCTATGAGGTTGTGACTTTAATAGATGGCATGGTGATACAAATGCCTAGATAGATACAACTTCTAACACTTCAGCTAGATCCAAAGAACAGATAACATTAAAGAAGCACATCTTTTGGTATTCTGAGTTATACTTGTATTTCCTCTATAAAATTAATAAACAAAAGGTTTCAAGCATTACAAACCAAGTGTTGGATTTATTAAAGCCAGAGGTTATGATTGAATAAATGTCTCTTTAGGAGCTTTAGGACCGATTTCATTAAAAGCTTATACTTTGCCATTGTTTCCCTTTCGCAGCGTGATTGTGGAAGACCTCCTGTTCCTAGAAAAGATCCTGGTATCAAGGTGGAGGTGGAATCTCTGTTATCAAATCACCCTTATGTTGATAAGGTATTCTTGTATGTGATTTATTTGAACATAAAAAGGCAGTCTAAGAAGGCCATCGCATGGTTAATACATATTTCATTTATGCTTGTGCATGAGCATCAATCCCTTTTGCTAAGTCATGTCGATTTTGGGTGAACTTTGCACCATCTCCGTGGTGGGTATCAACACTGGCCAGGTTCTGTACAAGTCTGCCCACTATTTGATATCACTAGAGCTATTGATGCCGGATGGTGCATGCTCTTCACTGGAAGCATTTTTGAATTTTTTTTTCCTATGTAGTTTAGTAGCAATATTTGACTTCTTAAACTAGTAGTCGTGATCTTTTATCAAGTGCGTAATTGCCAAAGCTTAAATTTTAAATTAAGTCCTTATAAGTTGTGGGTTTTATTGAATGTATGGATAATAAGTGGATAGTAAAGATTAAATTGTGGGTCATAGTGTGGATAAATAGTATATATGACCGGCTTAAAAGATTTAAGCTTTGCCAAACATGCACTAGGTTGAGAAGAGAAGTGAGACGTTTTTATTGAATTCTCATTTACTAGGCAATCATCATTTTTCAGGTCCATACTTGTGCATCAAATAGTCTTATGTTTGCACGTCCAAACCATCTTGATTGATTTAACTTAATATTTGTCACTGATAGTTATTATGATCCAAAATAGTTTTTAAATTTTCAACATGTCGGCTACATCAAATGCTACACTGCTTGTTTCTTCGGGTTATGATAAAAAGTTATATTACTAGAATGTTTTTTTATGCTATCAAAAGCTTCAGTTTTTTATCATTTCGTACTCAACCTTAAATAAGCTGTAAGACTTCTATTATATAGTATTTTAACTAGCTGCATCTAAATTATTATGTGTGCTATTATATTCTCTGCAGCTATGGCAGATACATAATGCTGAACAAATGATTATGGATGACATGGAGCTTAATCCTGATAAGTATAAGGGCAAAAAGTTAACTGAATTGACAGATGATGAGGATTTTGATGAAGAAAACAGTATAGTGTACGGCGAAGCTTACTATAAGAAAGCACTGCTTCCGAAAATGACGTTGGTAAAAGTTTTTTGCATGTGGTAATATTCACCCTTTTTTTATCACTTATATGATATTGATCATTCATTGGCAGAGAATAAGCACAAAAGAACTTGATTTGGAATCTGCACTTGCTGAGCGTCAGGTTTGTATTCAATTGTTTGTAATCTTAAACTTCATATGTACTGTCCTTTGACTCATCAGATTGTTTTTCGATTCTTCTATTCAGTGTCTTTTATTGATACAAGTTTTTGTGGAGTTTGCTCTTGAAGAAATGACTTTTTGATGCTTATTTCTGTGCTCTCTATTTCAGTTCCACAATAAACTACGGAAGGAAGCAGAAGAAAGAGGAGAGGAATACAAAATCACCAAGTTGAGGCGAAACGAGGAGATGGATGAATATGACCTTATCCATTGGCGTCGATCTTTAGAGGAAAGAGAAGCTCTACTCCGAGATATAAGCTGGTATACTCCCAAGTGTTCTTTCTTCCTAGTTACGACACCCTTTTCTGATATGTTTGGTAAAGTTTTGTGTAGATTATAAGTTTTTGGTCCTACGGAATATGTGGATAAAAGTGGTTAAAAACTGTGGGTCTTACGGAATGCATGGATAAAAAGATGTTTGACCAACTTGAAAGCTTGAAAAAGCTGTGCCAAACATACCCTTTAAAGAGCTACGCTGATTTTAAGAGCTCAATGTATGTTTACCTGTTGGCTAAGCTTAAAAAAGTTCACTTATAAGTTTACCTATGAGTAAATGAGCAAGTTAATAAATAAACAATTCTTTTAATTTCCTGCTTACATGCATCATTGAACCCGGGTTTTTCCTTTACAGCCGTCGGGCTGTCGGGCTTCCATTGGAAGAGCCCGGTAGGTATGTTGATGCTAGTTACTTCGGAAAGGACCAATATGATCCAGATAGTTCCCTATATCGTTACGACTACTGGGGAGAGCCAAAGAATTCGGAAAAGAGCAAGCAAGAGCGGATGACCGATGCCCACAACAAATCAATTGTTGGCAAGGGTACTGTTTGGTACGAAATGTCATATGAAGATGCCATCAAACAGCAGTTGCAGAGGGAAGCCCTTGGAATCAAGCCAAAACAGTATAATGAAGATTCAGACGGAGATGAAGATGACGACAACGACGACGACTTTGATTACAGTATTCTGGGCGACCAAAGTGCAGAGGTATCCAACCAGCCTCACGTTAATGGGACTGAATCTTTTCAATTGTCGGATGACGGAATATTTGAGGATTAGTTTGGCTTATTTTTGTAGTTGTACAGGGTTAGATTAGTTAAAGCCAAAAGAGAACACAGTAAGGTGTGCTTCCCCATCTCTTATTGATGCTATATTTACCTTACGTTAGTAACTTGTTGAAATAGTAAAATCAAATTTTGGATTGCAGTTACTATTACCCAATTTTTTGTTATTTACCTAGGATTATTCATGAGTAAGTTTTTATAATAGATTCTAGGGAATAATTTCTATTGCTTCTTGGTTTATTAGTTATTTCACATCTATAACTAGGAAAAATAGGGCTAGGATCCCAACTTTTACATAATACAGTTTTGGATTCTCAACCTTCAAAAGTGAAGATTTAGTCTCTCAACCTCTTTAAATTAGTTAATAAATTTGGTTTGGCCCCTACTTGACGAAATCCTTTCGGGTAGACATTAAAATTGTACATGATTTTCATATGATATAATGTAACATTTCTCTCAAATTCAATTAAAAGCCACATGCAATTTTGACCTTCACATTGAAGGTATTTGTCATGTGGGGACTCAAATTCACAAATTTAAAAAGGCAGGGGACTCAAAATCTCATTTTGAAAGGTCGGGGATTCATAGTCATGTCAGGTTAGAGAGTTCAATCCTAACTTTCCTCCATTTTGGTACGAACGGGAATGGTGTATCGAACATGATGTGGATAGACTCAAAACAAAACACAGAACCAAGCAGTAGTCACCTGCCTTGTAATAGTTCTTTCGTAGTTATGATTGCGGTTCTCATTAACATTTGTTGTCAACTCCCCGGTTTACGTCTGGTTCCTCGAGTTGTAGAGTATCGTACTGTTAATAAAAAAAATGGAAAATGAAAAATAAAAAAACTGACTCTGATATCTTTTCACCAGAACCCCCATTTGATACCTGGAAAAAGTACCAAGCAATATTTCAATAATACTATTCTATCAGTTAGGATTTCTGAAGTTTGGAAAATATCGGATTATTACCACATATCTAACTCATGGGCTCTCTTGCAAATTTTGCCAGTTTCTCCTCGAAATTGTAAGTTTTCGATGAAGAAGTACTCGATTGTTAATCTTCTTCGCAGAAACCAGGACGACCTTGTGGTTGTATGAACCTTGAAATTACAAGCATCGAAAGATAAAGCTAATGATCAAACACAGATCACATGATATTGAGCAAGCACAGATTACTACTCACTTGAAATCACACGCAAGTACTGGATCAATCGATCTCTCCTCTCGGTTCATGGAACGCATCTGGAATGGTTTGAGGTTTGACTTCATCTTCCTCCTCCTCGTCCATCTTCATGTACAATCCAAGTTGTTCCCAGGGATTACTCCTCGACCGAAATTTGAAACGGCCTAGACCATTTTGAGAGTAATCGAGGTTCGTCTCCTCTATGACGCCGTGTGAGTTGACATCTGGAGAAGCTCTAAACATTTCCAGATCTTCCATAAACAGACTATTGTCGTTAATATCAACTGTCTTCTCCATCTGTTAAGAACACAATGTTTACTCAAAAGTTTTTGTGAAATTATATAATTTCACTCAATGTTTCTACTTTTACCTTCTCTAGTGCCTGACGTGCTGCTTCTCTTTCAAGTTCTACTTTCCTTCTAGCTTCCGCTGCAGCTTCTGCTTCAGCCTTAATACGACCCACTTCAGCTGCTTTGGCTTCTTCTATTATACGAGCTTTCTCTAAAAACACACAATCCCACATCATCATTGCACGAGAAAAAATAAACATAAACAACGAGCAAGGGAAAACCTTGAACCAAGCAACATACCTTCTCTTCTCCACCTTTCGCGCTCTTCTCTGTCAAGCTTTAATTTCTCAGGATCCTGTCTTTCACCCTGCCAGATCATTTCTCATATTTATTACTACAGATCAGTTGGAAAACGCTGTCAAGCAGACATGAATTCACTGGTAACTGAAAAGTCCACACACACACACCTTTCCAAATGTATTCTCTTTGGCTTTGATTATGATGTCTGCAAATCGGCTTCTCAACAGAGCTGCACGGTAAGACTTTTCAGGGGAGACTTGCCTCTCGGGTGGAGCACACTTGCCTAGAATGTCACAGCATGTTTTGGTGAGATGTTGCTGCATAACTAAGAGTACATGCTTTCTTCATTAGTTTTCATTGCTTACCCTCTTGGTGACAGATAGGCTCAACAGAGGCAGATTTTGACGGGGAATTTCTCACAGTACGCTCGTTCAAAAAATCTGTGAAAATGAAAAGATTATATAACCACAAAATGTAAAAAGGTCGTGAAAACTTTTCTCATTAAACCAACAAAATCCTGACCTATAGTATTTACATCACCGAGATCATTTTCCTTCTCGGCCAAAGGAACTACATTTTCCTGGGATCATGAAGTGAAAGAAACAACTGTTACAGAAGCACTCACTGACGAAGATTACAAGAGGCACTTAATATCTATGTCTTAATGAAACAAATGCAAACCCCTCACCCAACCCAAAAACCCAAAATAAAGAGAGAAAATAAAAGAATTGCCAATACAACATCATACCTTAGCAGTACTTGCAGGAACTGAATCCTCCACACTATCTGATTCACTGCCAGAAGAATTTTCAGAGTCGGAATCTGAGTGAAGAGCATCATATCAATAAAAAAATGAGGTCTCAAAACTGCGTTGTTGAAACAACTCTTTTGTTTTAAGGTTAATGCATTCGATGGATAGAAAGGAGAGACATGAAAGGGTAATAGAAGAAAAACCAAAATTCAGTATCATTTTACAGTTTTCGTTTAATAATTCCGAACTCGCCCTTCTTAGTGGAGGTAGTTCTGGTGACATTTATTATTTATGTAGTAAATGTTTCACCCACTTTAACTTAATGACTGGTATAATAGGAGTTTAAACAGTATAGTAGTCTATAAGGAAAAAAAATGATACAATGGGAGTATGACGTTCAAAAAAATTAATTGACATGATTGACTAACCTAGCAAACGCAGAACTCAGTAGAACTGAGAAAGTACTACTTTTCTATTTCAACACACTAAGGACACGCTGAAGTGTATTTGGGAGTTCATAATTCAAGTGAGAAAACATGAAGGCCCTTCAGGACCCAAGATTGGCAGATGAGAAAAGAGAAGAATGGTGTGAATTTCAAGCCCATGAAAACAAGGTTCTCGATGCAAGTTCTCTGTATGGTTCCATTGGACAGCTATGCCATAATTTCTTATTTTCATGAATACAGAAACAGAAGTAGTGACTTGCGAAAAGAAATCAACATAGATATAACAAAATATTGAGCATCACATCAATTAGAACAATAAAATTCCAATCAATTGAAAAAAAATGCACAAAAGCTTCATCATAACACGAACCAGTAGTAGAAGAAGAGCCTGAATCACTACTAGAGCTGCTTGAACTTCTGCATTGACTATCCCTTTGGGCTGCATCCTTATCAATCTCTACATGAGGAAAGATTGAGATAGGTGTATCATTTCTGGCAATAACCACGTCCCTCTCAGCTGGCTCATTGCCTGGTAATGAGTTCAGGAGCAAGGATCGGATAGCAAAAAACTAAACAACCAAACTAACACCTATGGACAACTGAAGTCTCCTTTTCAATGCAACTTCATCAGCAGAGGAGAAAATTACCTTGGCGAGGCTGCACATATGAATTGCTGTACCCTGACTCATTGCGCATCTGCAGAAGATACAAAAACCATATTTAGGTTCATGTGGGTTTCTCATGTAGACAAAGTTATAAACATAAAATGGAACTCGTCCATCCACGAGAAATTTCATGAACAGGTGTACCTCAATTTCGTATGGCCAATTTTTTGCTAGATTTTTCTGCTTCTTCCCTTCATAGTCATCCAAAAGCGTTTCAGGGGAGACTTGCCTCTCAGATGGAGCACTCTCACCTAAAATGTTACAGCATGTTGGGTGAGATATTGCTGTGTAACCAATAGTACATGCTTTCTTCATTAGTTTTCATTGCTTACCCTCTTGGCAACAGTTAGGCTCAGCAGAGGCAGATTTTGTTGGGGAATTTCGTGTAGCATGCCCATTCAAAAAATCTGCAGTAGACTCAAAGATTGTTTAACATCGGAATGTGAAAGAATCGTGAAAATTTTGCCCATTAAACCAACAAAATCCTGACCTCTAGTATTTAAATCGCCGAGATCATTTTCCTTCTCTACCCCAGAAACTACGGTTTCCTGGCATCATGAAGAAAAAGAAACAAATGTTACGGAGCCACCTAGTGACAAACATTACAAGAGGCACTTAATATCTTTGTAGCACTTACTAAAACAATGCGAACCCCCACACCACCACCATCTCAAATAAAGGAAAGAAAGAAAAATAAAAGAATTGCCAATACAGCATCAAACCTTAGCAGAATTTACAGGAACTGAATCCTCCACACCATCTGATTCACTGCCAGAAGAATTTCCAGAGTCGGAATCTGAGTGAAGAGCATCAAACCCATAAACAATGATGTCTTGAAATATGTAGTCGCAATATCTCTTTTGCTTTAAGGTAAATGCATTCAAGTGGCATGGAAAAGGGGGAAAACCATAAATTCAGTATCATTTTATGGTTTTTGCATATTTTGTTCAAACTTGCCACTATTAGTGGAGGTACTTCTGTCGTTATATTTAAGATAACAAATAAATTATGAGACGAATAGTATAGTAGTCTAGAAGAACAAAATGAAACAATGGAAGTATAACATTAAAAAAAACTGACATATTTCACTAACCTAGCAAACATAGAACTAACAATAGGACTGAGAAAGTATTGACTTTCTAATATGAAACACACTAGGGATATGCCGAAACATGTTCTAACATAAGTTGGAGACCAGTTGAATGTATATGGGAGTTCACTGTTGAAGTGAGAAAACATAAAAGCCTTTCAGGACCCAAGACTGGCAGATGAGAAAAGAGAAGAATGGTGTAAATATCAAGCCCATGAACACAATGGTCTCAAAGCAAGTTCTCTGTATGGTTCCATTGTATCACATTGCCTAATTTCTAGTTTCATGAATAAAGAAGAAGAAATGGTGAACTATGAAAAAGAGCTTAGCATCCATGGATTGATGAAAATGGAAAGTCCAAATCATACCCAAATATTGAGCACCACAGTAATTAGAACAATAAATATCCAATCAACACTATTGAAAAAATCATGCACAAAAGCTTCATCATAACACGAACCAGTAGAAGAAGAGCCTGACTCACTACTGGAGCTACTTGAACTTCTGAATTGACAATCCCTTCGGGCAGCATCCTTATCAATATCTACATGAGGAAAGCTTGACGTAGCTGTATCATTTCTGGCAATATCCACGTCCCTCTCAGCTGGCTCACCGCCTGATAATGAATTCAGGAGAAAGGGTCGCAAACCAAATGAATCAATTATCAAATCAAACACCCATTGAAAAAAAGTCCTCCTTTCGCATGCAACTTCATCTGCAGAAGAGAAAATTACCTTTGCGAGGCTGCACATTTGGATTGCTGTACCCTGACTCATTCCGTATCTGCTGAAGATACAAAAACAAGTATTTAGTTTCATGTATGCCTCTGATGCAGACAAAGTTATAAACATAAAACTGACTCATTGCTGTACCTCAGTTTCGCACCGCCATATTTTTGCTTGATTTTTCTGCTTCTTCTCTATGTAGTCATCCAAAAGTTTCCGTAACTTGAACAGGTTATTATCACTAAAAGTGTCAAGTTCAATGGTCATCTCTCCCTCATTCACCTGTCTTCCATTAAAACTGCTCTCTTTCAAGAAATTAATAATATTATCTGGCAATTCTTCCAGCAACAGATTCAACTCTGCTGCCAATTTTCGCATCTCTACATTACTCATAACAGGCTTAACTGATTCTTGCTTGATCTTGTTTTCAGCAGAAGTGATTTTCAGCTTCTTAGCAGGGGGTTTGGAAGGAGTTTTAGCTTCCATTATAGCACTTGATGTTAATAGCATGGATTCGTCCATTGTTACAGAAATCTTCTTCTCAATTTGTTTCCATCTCACTTCAAAAAATTTGTTCATCTTCTCGGCCGCGAGATGGACATAATGTCCCGGTGGATTGTAAATCATTGCGTTTTTTAAAGTTAGCCTCACATCTGCAGCAAACCCCTCTGGACTGGAATACCGCCCTGAAAGTAACTTAGTTTTTACAGTCCCCAAATCCATTGGATGCTTAATGACGTTGAAGTAATCGGGAATATTATATGCTATAATATCGACCGGACTATTAAAGATTGGTGCATTTTTCTGCTTCATCAACCGATTTAACAAGACATCACATTGTTTCATTAACCTAACATAATTGGTATTCTGCTGCAAACCGTGCTTCTTCTCCAACTCAGTCTGCCTAGCTGCCATGGCCCCACCCTTCATGTGGGGAGTATTTCTTCCCCGAGGAATATTTTTCATCTCGGGCAAAGCAGCAGTCAGTTTATTTACAGAAATCGGACAACTTTTCACCTTGGCTGGTCTCTTTGGGCCATCACCATAACAATGCATATCAATAGTGGCATTTGAGCTCAACAAAGCTATCTTCTTCTGAAGCTTCCTAACTTGTTCAAGTTCATTTTTCAACTTCATCTCCAAATCCCTCCTCTGCATATGTGACATCCTAGACAATGAAAAGGCCTGTATTGGCACAATAGACCCATCAAAACCTTCCACATTCAAGCTTATAGATTTCTTTTTAGGGGCATCAGATTCCTCGGGGAAATTTGACTGGGTATCAACTGAACCTGAGCACCCAAAATCTTCTGATGCCGACATTGACGGACAATCCTTAGAAAGTTTCCATGTTTTCCCCATGAAATAAACCGAGCCCTTTTATGATCACTTTCTTGATTCCTTCTACCCAATTATCTCTACAGTAGCAGTCGGTACCGTAAATTCAACCACCAATTTCTTCACATATCAACTCGTTCTCATTCCAAATCATATACCCCTGCTCATAAAAAGCCCTCACTTCAAACTTCCCAAAATATAAATCTCTTTCAATACCAAAATTTTCAACGCACAGGTATCAATTTCCACCAAATGAAACATATTTCCTATTCAGAATGCGGTTTCTTTTAATTCATTGTTTTTTATCTTATCTTTTTCCTTCTCGTAATTAGTCAAGCTTCCATCAAATAAAGAAAATACTAAAAGAACTCCAATTCGATAAAGAACCTAACTTCGACATTCATTTAAAAATTATCTTCCTTTATCCGATTTCAAAAAAGGCAGTAAAATGACAATCCTAGAAATGAAAATTATGAAAGTTACACAAGAAAATGCCTCGCAAGAATAGAATTAAAACTCTGGGATTGCATTGTGTGTGTGTGTGAGAGAGAGAGAGAGAGAGACTTACTAGTTGTGATCGCCGGGAAATTGGGGTTCCGACGAATCGCCCGGCAGTTAAATGCAAGATAGCTTCAAGCCCGCTGCCCGCCCATATTCAAGAAATCCTGGCCGTTGCTTTTTCATGCCGTTGAATGTAAGCGTGGAGATTGTTATTGATTTTACCATTAGATGCAAGGTGGAATATGTTGATTGGGGAATTCTTTTGGGACTTCTTTAGACATACAACTTTTGAATAATGTTATTCCTAACCCTCCAAGCACCGGTCTACGTAACAATTACATAATATTAAATGATAAATTCATTCAAACGTAAAATCATATGGAATAACTCATTTAATTGAACATATAAAATATAATCACTTAGACTTATACGAAAAAACTTATATATGTTTTTATAATCTTATTCGAGAGTACTGGAAGATTTCGAGATTCTGAAACTTGAGACTTCGATATTTACTCAGAAGATATCAAGTGAGGAAAGACCCTTGTACAATTCTCTTTTATAGCATATTTGATAATTAAGTCGTTAACTTGAATCTAATTGAATGTTGCATTAAAGAAGCATTTGACATACTTATTTTTACTGATCATTTCAAATTCTTTTATAAAATATCGTTATTGAACATCATCCATATTAAGTATTAGTCTATGTGATAGTGAAGACATGTCACATTGTCCAATGAATGAAAATGTTGGACGATGGAGGTCTACTATATTATGTTATTTTTGAAATAATATTTATATTCCAGCCTAAATGACTTATGAGAATGTACGAGTGAATGGCCAAACCAATCTAAATAAATAGGGTTGGGAAGCACCTTCCCTAACACTTATTTTAGGCACAACAATAACATAGTTCAGTAGCTCAAATTCAATTGAAGGCTCGTAAGATATTGCAAATAATTTTCATATACAACATAGCCTCCATAAATTAGTACTCCATATATTAATGAAGGGATAATTGCAGAAAAAGTCACAAACCTTTAAAACACTGGCAGACTTTTCTCAAAATTTTGATTTGCTGCAGCCTTCGCCTCTAACCTTTTGAAATGTTGCAGGTGGGGGCCCTTTTGGACGGTTTTCTTCCAAAATACATTCAATTGACTCAAAAAATTGATTTCGACCATATTTTAATCAACTTTAAAAGGGCAAAAAGATAACTATCTATTAATCACATGAATACCCCACCCCAAACGAAACCCCAAACCAAAACCACCTCCCCTTATATCATTTATTTCTCAATTATTCAACTACATGGAAATGAATAAACAGCTTTTCCTTATGAGAATTAAATTGCAAGAATGAGCTTGGTCAAATCAATTGTTAGAACGAAAATACCAAGCAAAAAGGGAACCTAAAGACGGGAGTTGGAGGTTTCCTGGAATTTGGCTCACATTTCGGTAGTGGTGAATGCGGCCCGAGACTGGTGGCGCGGTAACGGCAAGACCAAGAATGGGATTTGTAGGTTGATGAAGATGTTAAGGGATAAAATCTCATATCAAATAAAAATGAAAATATAGACTAATTTATAAGAGTTTGGGTTACTCCTCTTAATAAACTTGACTTTTTAAGATGGAACATCAATTCTTAATATGGTATCAGAGTCTGTTAAACTCCAACGAGAAATTCGATCCGACTAAGACTCAAAAAAATTGAACACACGGATTTCGAGTTTGGTCTACTCAAACGAGCCACCATCTTGCGGGAACATGTTAAGGGAGACCAATTTATAAGAGTTTGTGTTACTACTCTTAATAAAGGTATAACCTTTTAAAATGGAATTTCAAATCTTAATAGAAGGTAGCTAACGGTGGCGATAAATAATTGAAGAAGAAGAAGAAGCCGCCTATTACTATCCCTGGAGTTTAATGCTTGGAGGTAAAAGGAGGGGAATGTGGGTTTGGTTTGGGGTTTCGTTTAGAGTGTGGTTAACTTTTGTTTTTTTGTTTATTATTTAATTATTTAATGTGATTAATAGATTGTTACAATTTTAACATTTTAAAATTGATTAAAATGTGGTCAAAATTATTTTTTTAGGTCAACTGACGATATTTTAGATGGAAATCGTCTAAAAAAGCCCCGTCTGCAACGTTTAAAAAGGTTATGGATGACAACTGCAATAAATAAAAAGTTTGGGAAAGTTTGCCAGTGTTTTAAACATTTGAAGCTTTTGTTGCATTTATCTCATTAATAAAATAAATTCAGTTTACAAATTTTTCGATCTCGACCATATTAATTTATAGAGACTAAGGTAGACTAGCATTACGATCCACGACTTCAAGCACATCTAACCTCCTTTCGAGGTGGCCTGGCACAAACACCTACAGGCTCAAATCAACCTCAATCGACCTCGTGGTTTGGCAGTAACGCCTATACATTCCGCACGATCATCTTTTTCTGAAGAAATGGAAAGGCGGATTAAGGCTACTTTGAAATATATAGGGCAATAGATCTCAACTCCTATATTGAAACGAACTAACGAATTACACATTGTAGACAAACATGTCCCTTCTATTTTCCATTATCAACAAGCCCGTTTGGCATGATTTTAATTTGTTTTTGCTTCTTGTAGAACGACTTTTGGAGGAAGTCGTCTTAATTTTTGTTTTGAAACTAATTTTTGAAAGCACTTCTTATTCCGAAAAGTGATATGAGGGGAAGTCACATTTGACCAATTTTTTCTAAAAATTCTTACTACCAGAAGCATTTTTATAAACTTAATCAAATGGATCCAAAAACAACTTTTGAATCTTAAAAACTCTTTTTAACTTTTCAAAAGTCGTACTAAGGGAGGTTTATTATTTATTTAATTAAGATAAATTTTATACTTTTTCAAATATTTTTTATTGTATGGGGGGAAAAAGAAGGAGAAGGGAGAATTGTGAAAAACATCACCTCGTTTGTGATAATTTCATAATATTGCACTAGATCAACATAAATTCTATTTTAAATAAAAATCTTCAAAAAATATTCCGAATTCTACAAAAGTTTCTAAAAGTTTTAAGTTTAAAAAGTCGACAAAAAACTTTCATTAATCAACAATTATTTGAGGTTTCTGTCCAACATACACCCCCACAGCACCCCCAAACCCCAGTAGCTGATCAAAAATTATCTCCTCAGAAGTTCTAGTTAAGAACCCCATCTACGAATAGAGGAGGAACCACTACATATACATCTACGTTTTGACTATGTTGTACACCTTCTTAACACTGTCGACTCATTATGACATGTTACTAAAATTCAATTATACCTTAATTTTCATTTTCTGCATGTAATTTATTTAACCATTTAGACAATAATGTTATCAATTATTTTGCCAACTATTTAATCAACATCAATGCACATTCCACAAATTTATTTCATTTGAATGCTAAACTCAATTACAAACAGTATTAAATACTATATAAGTCATCAATGCACGTTTAATTAATATTCATCTTCAAATATTATTACTTTTATAGACGAGGAAAACTATAATTAATATCAAACAAATAAACAGAGAAGTAAAAACTGCAAACATGCAGGGAAAACAAAGGATTTAGACGAGGAAAATCACCAAAATAATAACATTTGCATGCACTAAAAACTAAAAAACAACTGGAAAAATTCAAATTCCTCGTTAAACTGTTAAAAAACGGCTTTTAACCACAGTCGAACACACCAGTAAGATCAAGATTCAAGACAACTATTTTTTGACATAAAAAGAGAGAAGGAAATATATTCACAATTATTATCAATAGGGTTTTACATGAGTTAGAAGAAGTGCTTATCCATAAGTGAATCTGTTATAATTACTTATATTTAAAAGATAGCTTTTTTCTTTGCCTTGGATCTTTCAAGAAGCTTAATTCACTTGTCTATCGGCCCAAAGATAGCGCAGCCGTGGTGTCGAGCCGCCATGCAAATCCTCCACAGTCCATTCTCCAAACATCACACGGCAGTGTAAGAGAAATCTTGTCTCTACCGAAGGTTACCACCCTGACCCGGCACGTGAACGACGGGATCCCGGCTGGAACCATCACCTCCGCCTTCATCACAAGCCATGTGACCACCTCCTCCGCCGCGCCACCGACCATCTTCCTGTATGCCCCATTGGTCCACAAAACCCGGTTCAGACCATCCGATATGAAACCTGGACACGCGTCACGCTGTAGGCTCATCACCCTCTCCTCGTCTGTTCGGCCGAACCGATAACAGTCTACCAAAGAGTTGGTTACGCATTCCACTTTCACCCATGAGCCTACCATCGGTCGTGGCGGCGGCGGCGGAACCAACACCGCCTGATCCTCTCTCTCTTCACTCCCAAAGCTCAACCATAAAGGAACACTGGGTGCACCTCTTTTCTTATTCTCCTTCACGTCGGATGTTTGTGGAAACAACGGCAGTGTCACCACCGTTTCTACACCTGAAACTGACCCAGCGGAGGTGGTGTTTTCCGGTGAATCCTTTCTTTTCCGGTTACAGACCCTTCTGTTCGTATTATTGGCACTGGCGGTGTCTTTAGCATGTTTCCTTTTCCCACGGCCATTTTTAACAGATGGGTCGGTATTTTCGGTCGTGGAACTGTTGCCGCCGCCGAAAACTGACCCATTAGTGGAAGCTGGCTTCGGAGCTATCGGCCGGTACCGCATCATTATCCGGCCAACTTTAGACGTATCGTACCCGCGGCCAACTTTAGATGTATCGTACGCGCCGCTGCCTGCGTACCTCGCTATACAGCACCCTCCTCTTCCATTCATGTTGTTTTCAAGATTTTTTTCTATGTAAAATTTCAGAAATTATGATTTAAGCAAAATATATTTCGGCTAAGAATGACTGAAGTCTGAAGACTGGACCAGTGGGAGTTTGATTTATACTGAAAAGCGGATGAAGTTTTAGTTGGGGTCACCTAACTTTCTAGGTTTCTTAATATTGGTCACCCAACTTTGATTTATTCTAATTTGATCATCTAATTGACATTTTCCTTTCGACTTGACCAAATTAAAAGGGATCTCACAAATGTAGATTTAGGTCACAAATAGCATATACATACGCTAATATGCAATCTTTTTTTCTTATACTAAATAATAGAACCTTGACTTGTCTCATTGTGAACCTTTTTTCTTCTTTAAAACATTAGGTCAAATTTGTCACATATCTGATCAACTTTTATTAAAATCTATTAAAATTTTGATTTTAATACCCAACAAACAAGAAGCATGTGAATTGCTAAAAACATTCGAATCCTTAATTATGTCACAGCTGCAAACAAAATGACCAAATTATAACAAAAAATGTAATTTCATTGATCGAAACGAAACATATCAAAGTCGTATAACCAACACGAAACAAACCCATATTCCAGGTGCCCTCCAAGCAAATATTTCCAAGTTTTAGATTTCAATGTGAGTTTGGGACACGTGTGATGATACTTTTGACACGGGTGAGAAGGACGATTGGTACGAATAGTGGGCCACGTGACAGTAACCCTAATTATCCAATAGGAAAGGAGAATGGATGGACCCAAAATGTGAGCCAATAAGATTATGAAGAGTGGCGAGTAATTCGTCAGAAGCGGGGGCACGTCTGTCTTCGTGCCCTGTGCATCATCTACAGCGGTGGATTCATTGGTTAATTGACACGTGTATGGAAAACTGATTTTTTGGATAGTGATAAGTTCCTGTTGGGCGATTAGTAGTTTGTGATTGCGCCGCGTGGACGGCAGATTATCGGAACAAAATAAAGAAACTGTGACGTTAAGCCATGTCTCACCTTCTTTGATTTAATTTAATTTATTTCTCATATTCGTTTTAACTTTTAAATCGTAATAAAATATTTTAAATGTAAATTCAAAAAATTTCTCTACTTTTTAATATCACATTTTCCAAAAATTACTATTCCAAGCAAATTTTTTAAGTTTTTAAAATGTCAAACATGGCCTAAAATTTTTTTTATTAAGCTCTCGCTTGGTGCACATTTTGAGTCCAATAATACATTTTTTTGTTTGATGTGATGGAGAATATATGGTTGAAAAAAAAAGTTATTGATGTGATTAAAAATATTATTTTATTAAAAAATGCGTGGTTGAAAATAGTAGAAGAATGTGAATGAAAAAAATAATATGGCTCAAATATGAGCTAATTAAATCCCTGTCGGGGGATTAAAATTATTTTTTTTTCAAATTTTGATAAAAGTTGAGCATTATAAAATATGTGATTAAACAATTGAGTCTTATGAAATGTGTAATTAAAATTAATTATTTATTAATTTTAATTTTAATTTCTATCAAACAGAGTCGGAAAATGTTTAGTTGGGTATTGTTTTTGGTTGTAACATACAAGGTTGTAGGATCATAATTTTAAAAGTAACGTTATTCATTTTCAGTGGGGATGAAAATTGAAAACACAGTTTAGGTGACTTTAATGTGACATTAAATGATACGTGAAATCCGACTCACCGGCTGAGTGGTAGTGAAAGTGATTGTGGCAGATGGTTCAGAAGACTGGGTAGGATTAGGTGAAGAAGACGTTACGTTTGGTTTTCACCTTTAAATGACATGTGGGATGCACTAATGAACTGCAGACGGAACCATTGAAGATGAATTTTGGTTTAACCTTCTATTCACTGAACATCAATTGAAATTTGTCTATTTAAATGTCACATTTTTGTACTAAATGCTCATATTGAAGAAAATCTTGCTCCCATATGTCTAACATTAAAGTCAAATATTTACGCATTTATAAATACTACCTATATATACGAGTCAGACATTTCGTGGAATCAGTATTATTCCTCCTAAAAACTTGCACAACGAACTTTCAAATTCAAACATAGATAAGTACGAAATAATTTTTAACGGGTTTAATATATTGAATTGAAGATAGAACTAAGAAACAAAAGAGTAAAAATCGTGTATTTATTTACATTGAATTAGGTCCCTCGTGGCTTATATATTAACATGCATTTCATTTTAGTAGATTTTGATAGAAATTTTTGAAATGTGTAATTGAAAAATTGTGAAACTCTTGAAAGATGTGGTTAATATTGATTGTTTGACTTTGACTTGAATTAAAATCAGATTTTAATCCGAACCAAACATGGGTTTAAAGCTATTTCTCAACAATCACTTTACTTTATAATTTTTCCAATACTTGCTTATTTTTAATTCCTCTTTCTGTCCATCGTCACCATGAAACGTTTAAAATTTTTAACAATTTTGTTTAACGTCGTCTAAATCGTTAGTTTTCTTACAAAAAATAATTTTAGAATTCAATAACTATTATAATATAATTATGAAAGTACTTCCACATTTTTTAACTCATTCGTAGACTAATATCCCACGTGTTAATCTAACCTAACCTAAACCTAATGAAAGATTCTAATGCCGTGACAGTTTATTAATAAATGTGACATCCCACGTAGCTTAATCTAACCTAACCTAAACAAATCGTTATTTGCTTTGTTTAATGTGGGAGCATCCAAATTTAGCATAGCTTTTGAGTTAGGATGTAATTTTAAATTTCAAAAAGTTCGATTCTTTTAAGAAGTGTGTGATACCGTCACATATTAAGTCTGAGAATCCCAACGTTGTTTGATTATTTTGCCTTAATAAAAAGAATTAATTGTTATTATCATTTCCCTTCGCTCTTTTCACGTTCCTTTTCTTTCTTTCTTTTTTTATTTGGGAGGAAGAAGGTGAGACATTTTCTTGGTACGACAAGGAAGCAGGCATGTTATTTCTCCGAGTTTTGTTCGTACATTTAAAAAAAATGATTGGCTCAAGGCTTAAGCATATCGATAAAAATGCTGACACAAAATTTTTTACGGTAAAATAGCACATCCTTTAGCCCCCGTTTGTTTCTCATTTTTTGTCCATAAAAATGAAAAATATGATCGTTATCCATTATGTCAAACCATAATTTTAAATTTTCTTGTGTGGGGCCAAATAACGGCTATATTTTTCATTCTCATTCTACAATAATGAGAATCAAACGGGCCCTTAATATGAAAACAAGTCGACTTGGACTATTTTTCTGTATAAGATTGACTTTTGAAGATAAATCTCAGAAGACTCAATGGGGTATCATAGTTTAAAGGTTTCAAATAAACAATTCTATCTATTTAAAGCTCCAACGAATAATCAAAATTGCAAAAGTATGTTAATGTTGAAATTATATATCATTTACATACGAAAACAAAATTGCAAGGATGCTATTTACATTGCTTGGTTGTTTGAGAATCTACGGTGGAACAAAAGCTATAATAGACTCCAATATTAGAAGGGGGAAGGGGAATAAAGTCGAGAACAATTGTTCATATAACAATTACAATTGTTGTTTGTATGGGTGATTTTTTTATCTTTTTTTCTAACTGTTTAATCAAAAATCGACACGTGTATTCTGTAAAAGAATTCTGTCAAAGTCTTCTGTATGTGGAGCATGATTCTTCTTGATATTAGATCAAATCAACAACACGTGTGGCCCAATGAGCTACAAATGAGTCGATTATAATACCATTGTTTATTGTGGCATTTGCACTTCGAGTGTTCGTTCTTGTCCACTTTAATATCAAGATCAACATCGATTAGTATTATATCAATACTAGCGTTATCCTAACAAAAACTTGAAATTCGTTTAAGAACTTATTCCAACAAGAAATAAGCTTATACTCTAACACGTGGAGTTATTAAGGATATAGTTGTTCTAAATCTTAGAATAGATCTATAGCATGTTTGGCCTTATATAAATAAACAAAATTGACTTATTTTGGACTTTTTTAAAACGATATCAAGAATGATACTGCTCGAAGCAAAGCAAACGCGCTCTTAGTATTGAATTGAACTAAATAACAAAAATTATATATATCCTATCCTAATATTTTGCATTCAAAAGTATATAAGAGTTGTGGCGTGTTCGGTAGAGATTAAAATCGGATTAAAATTGAAAAAGTAGCGGTTATTGTTGACTTTAATTAGACGAGTGAGACTCAATGACGACTATATTTTTAATTGTAATTGGCCTATAGGAGTTACATATTTCAAAATCACTCTCTGTGAATAAGCCAATAATGTGAGACCAAGTAGCTTTCTATTATTCCATCTCATTTCTCGATGTCTTTGAAATACAAAAATTCAAATTTTGTTTGAAACGTGTCCGAAGGCAATTGGATGGTAGAATTTTATATATTGATTAATATTTCGATATTTGATTAAGTGAAATTTATCTGATAACATGAGCAAGATGATGTATCGTTTGAAAACATCAATTTTAAAATTTGTTTGCTCATTTGAATCTTATTCGAATCAAATTGGTTCTCAGAACATAATACCTTGATACCATATAAACGCTTGGAGTTCTATGATGAAACGTCAATAATATTTAGAGGAATACTCCAAAGTTTTAGATATCAATTATTATTTCCATGTTTAGTCGGTTTGAAATTTATCTATTAATCGAATTCTATCCAATCTGTATATTTTTTGTTGTGTAAGACCTAATATATTAGGGTCGATGATATCTATTATTAAAATCTAAGTCAAAGTCAACAATTTATTAAAATCTACTGAAAATTTGATTTTAATTTTCATCAAACGAAGGCTAAGTTATATGTGAATCTCTCATCCTCTTTATTATAATGATTTGCTTGATTCGAGATGATCTCGACCAATCTATTATCTAGATATATCAAAAAAACGTACAACTAGGCAAAAGGGCCCACTTCCCATGCATTTAGTCGTATGTAGCTTTCGACAGGTATGTTT